TACCACCCGGTTACTCAACCCTGCACCTTAGAGTCTGCTGCCCTATAGCCATGGAATCACTGGTCACTTTAATAATGGAACACTAGTCACTTTAATAATGTTTACATACTGCTTTACTCATTTCATTTGTATATACTGTATTCTATTCTACGGTATTTTAGTAAATGCCACTCCGACATTGCTAGTCCTAATATTTATATATTTCTTAATTCCATTCTTTTACTTTTAGATTTGTGTGTATTGTTGTGAATTGTTAGATACTACTGCATTGTTGGAGCTAGCAACACAAGCATTTTGCTACACTCGCAATAACATATGCTAAATATGTGTATGTGACCAATAACATTTGATTTGATTTAATTTCACACATATTATCCAGATACTGACTGTTAGCACTTGGTCTATAGCAGCTTCCCACAATAATGGGCTTTAGCTGAGGCAGATGAACCTTTAGCCATATTACTTCAACAGTATTTAATATGAGATCGTCTCTAAGCTTTACAGGAATGTGGTTATGAATATGGACTGCAAAACCGCCCCCTTTGGCATTTCTGTCTTTTCTGTAGATGTTATAACCATGAATTGCTTCCACTGTATTATCAAGGAATTATCTAAGTGAGTTTCAGAGATAGTCAGAATATGAATGTCATCTGTTACTAGCAAGTTATTGATTTCATAAACCTTGTTTCTTAAGCTACATACAGTGCATTCGGAAAGTACACAGACCCCTTGACTATTTCCACATTTTGTTACGTTGCAGCCTTATTCTAAAATTGATTAAATCGTTTTTTTCCCCTAATCAATCTACACACAATAGTCAATAATGACAAATGCATAAACAAAAAATATATAAATATTACATTTACTTAAGTATTCAGAGCCTTTACTCAGTACTTTGTTGAAGCACCTTTGGCAGCAATTACAGCCTCAAGTCTTCTTGGGAATGACGCTACAAGCTTGGAACACCTGTATTTGGGGAGTTTCTCCCTTTCTTCTCTGCAGATCTTCTCAAGCTCTGTCAAGTTGGATGGAGAGCGTCACTGCAAAGCTATTTTGAGGTCTCTCCAGAGATGTTCGATTGGGTTCAAGTCCGGGCTCTGCCTGGACCACTCAAAGATGTTCAGAGACTTGGCTGTGTGCTTATGGTCAATCCTGAGTGCTTTGGAGCAGGTTTTCACCAAGGATCTCTCTGTACTTTACGCCATTTGTCTTTCCCTCGATCCTGACTAGTCTCCCAGTCCCTGCCGCTGAAAAACATCCCCACAGCATGATGCTGCCACCACCATGCTTCACCATAGGGATGGTGCCAGGTTTCCTCCAGACATGACGCTTGTCATTCAGGCCAAAGAGTTCAATCTTGGTTTCATCAGACCAGAGAATCTTGTTTCTCATGGTCTATTTAGGTGCCTTTTGGCAAACTCCAAGCGGGCTGTCATGTGCCTTTTACTGAGGAGTGGCTTCTGTCTGGCCACTCTACCATAATGGCCTGATTGGTGGAGTGCTGCAGAGATGGTTGTCCTTCTGGAAGGTTCTCCCATCTCCACAGAGGAACTCTGGAGCTCTTTTTGAGTGACCATCAGGTTCTTGGTCAACTCCCTGACCAAGGCTCTTCTCCCCCGATTGATCAGTTTGGCCGGGTGGCCAGCTCTACGAAGAGTCTTGGTGGTTCCAAACTTCTTCCATCTAAGAACGATGGAGGCTACTGTGTTCTTGGGGACCTGCAATGCTGCAGAAATGTTTTGGTACCCTTCCCCAGATCTGTGCCTCAACACAATCCTATCTCGGAGCTCTACGGACAATTCCTTCGACATCATGGTTTGGTTTTTGCTCTGACATGCACTGTCAACTGTGGGACCTTATATAGACAGGTGTGTGCCTTTCCAAATCATGCCCAATCAAGTTGTAGAAACATCTCAAGGACGATCAATGGAAACAGGATGCACCTGAGCTCAATTTCAAATCTCATAGCAAAGGGTCTGAATACTTCTTTAAATAAAGGTTTGTGTAAATTGATGAGGAAATAAATAATGTAATCAATTTTAGAATAATGCTGTAATGTAACAAAAAAGTGGAAAAAGTCAAGGGGTCTGAATACTTTCCGAATGCACTGTATGTTAATGTGGGCTATGTTTAGCCCTTTTCTGGGATGCTTGATTGTTTGTATTGCTTTACTAGGAAGCTTATCAGAAGTAGACATGCTCATGTTATTTACATTTGAGCTGATAGTGCAGGGTGAGCTTCACATTGTTGTCGTGATGTGACTTACTTTAATGTATGACTGTTATTTATCGAATCACCTAACTATGTTTAATTGTCACTTGATTAAATGTATCATGTAACAATTAACTAATTAGGAATTTGGGGCACCATGGAAGAAGTTGTTTAACGAGTTACCATCTCCTGAATTAAACTTTTAGAATATATAAATGTTATATATCGATAACAGTCACTTATTAAATAATTACCTCTTATCAGTCTCATTCGGAACGTCTCATAATCCTTGAACTTACAAGAACCCTAACCTTATTGATGAATCAGCAATACACAAATTGGCTTAATTATTTATTTACTAACTAACTAAATAATAACACAATACAAACACACACACACACATAGGTTATTGGTTACTAACGTAATACAATGAAAACAGGTCCCTAGAGGACTGGACTAACAATAGCATGAATGCTTGGGTAGAAGGAGGGTCAGAGTGGAAGGGAGAGACAGAGATTCAAACTATCGTGGATACTTTGGAAACTACGCTCATGGATATACAAATGCTTAAAACCCACTAAATGCTCATTCGGATTATAAATACAACATGTATTTACGTGTAGCTCTCCTCGATAGTTGAGTTGATGATGTAGGACTCTGGTTTGCCCACCAGAGATCCCAATGTCCTTGGTGGAGTTTCTGGTCGTAGTGGTGGTTAGAAAGGATATGTCAGATGTACCAGCGGTTGTCGGAAAGGGTTTGTCCTTCCCAACTCGTGTCTTTAGTGAAAGTTCTCTAGACGACTATACATGCCAGCTGCAGACTGAGATGATAAGGTCTAGTGCATTGTTGTCTTCTTCTTTACCTCGTGTAGAGGTTGAGAGTTTCAGAGTTTCTCCATTTCAAACGTGTGGACTAACGTCTCACGTTTTCTGGTCTTTCTGGTCTAGCCATTTTGTAACGTGTAGCTTCAGCTTCACTCTTCCTGGTCTGGTAGAAATTCAACCATTTGCAACATCCGGCTTGTACCGCTATCTGCTTGGTCTGCCTTTGGTAATTGAGTTGTAGTTTTAAACCATTTTGTAACGTTTAGCTCACGCTAAACACATATTTCTGCTTTTCGGATTTTGCAATTTGTGTGAGCTCTTTTTGTTCATTTAGTTGAGAAATTCCCTGTAATTAGAGAGACACGGAAGCCCAGCTAGCCTAGCTAGCCTAGCTGGCTGGCAGTCTCAAATGGAGGTCCTTGTTGAACATTTTCAATGCTACAGGAGCTGTGTTTATTTTTGCTTTATTCCAGGACAATGTGGACCGCCCAGACTTTCAATGTAGCAACTGTTTGCTTGCAGAGGACTGCAGGGGCGAAGTGGCTACTCTTAGCAAACAAATAGCGAACCTACCCAAGCTACTGGGGAATCCACGCCTGCCTACTTTTTATTTTTCTTCTACCCTAGTAGCCGGACGCCGCTCTGGTCTGATGGAAATGTTGCCGACGTGTTGGTTCTCTACTGCTGACTGGCCGGTACTCTGCAGGGATCCCTCCCCGAAGGGGTCTCCCCCTTCACCTGGAGAACGGCGCTAGTAGGATGCTCCTGGATGACTTGGGAGATGTTCCTGTTCTCGATCCTACCAATCAGCCATGGAGATATGTCACTCGCCATGGAAGTCGAAAACAGCGACGTCTGGCAACAGGGGCCTCCTTGGAGATTTGAAGCCCGGACCGGACACAGAACAGAAACAGCTTTGCCGCCCTGGATCAAGAGGTTCCGGCGCCTTCTTCCATTGGGGAAGCCACTTCGCCCCTGCTGTCCTCTGCAAGCAAACAGTTGCTACATTGAAAGTCCTGGCGGTCCACATTGTCCCGGAATAAAGCAAAATAAACACAGCTCCTGTAGCATTGAAAATGTTCAACAAGGACCTCCATTTGAGACTGCCGGCCAGCTAGGCTAGCTAGGCTTCCATGTCTCTCTCCTTACAGGGAATTTCTCAACTAAATGAACAAAATGAGCTCACACAAATTGCAAAATCCGAAAAGCAGAAATATGTGTCCTATATAAATCCTCTCACAGTGGTGAGAACGAAAGCAGTGTCTTTGCACGTACTGTTGGTCGCAGCATTGGCTAATGTTGGTAGCTATACAATGCAGTTCCAGCCAGGTCAGGTTGCAGGGAAAAAGCAAAAAGCAGCAGGGAATACAGCCACAATTAGCGTGGGACACCTCTGCGGTCCCAGCCACAAGGGCTAACCGCGTCGCGGGCTGTGTTCAAGCTGTTTGTTGAAAACCCTTCTAGCTTGATACTGATAGCTACCAGCTAGGCTAGTAGCTAGCTACGGTAAACAACTTCAGGCTTTTTGGTCTGGCAGAATCCCGGGACAGATAGTAGCAGTCACAGCAACTGAGGCTAACCGCGATGCAGGATCCAAAATCAAAAAGTATATAAATCAAACTTTGCAAGGAAACACTGTCACAACTTTACAAAAACAATAAACCGAAGGGACAAAGATATCAGGGTGGGTGATTGAGGCTAATAATACCCTGTGTGTTGAGCCTACAACAGTGGCCACACAACTGTGACAGAGGCAACCATTGGTAAGAGGCATGAAACCTTAGTAATTGCTCAACACGTCCCAGCCACAATAAATCATTTTACTGCTGTCTCCCTTTAACAGAACATTCAGCAGAAATCTCCTCATGGGCTGGTAGGATTTATGTTGAAAGCAGATCTTACTGCAGTTATTTTTTATGGATTTTATTAATTAGCTGATTTCTTAATTTAAGTGTTACACTGTCTCACTTCTGTCCCCCAGGACCAAGGTCCAATGTGTTTGTTTATTTCCAACTTGCTGAAGTCTTCATTCTGCTGACAGTCTGTCTGGGATCATACTGTTTCTACAAGAAGAAAACCTGTCCTCAAGAACAAGGTCAGTAACCATGCACCATTGTACCTTTGTTTAACATATTTTGTTTGATAAGTTTAATTGTATTATTATGCTTATTTCGCTCTCTCCCCCTCTCCATCTTTCCCCCTCTCTCTCTCTCTAGATGATGGTGAGTAAGCAGAGCGTATGCAGTCTCTTGCCATGGGGACCATGACTAATAACTAATGATGATGTTATACTGCTTATCACTGTTTTAATCTTTAATGGAGCTCAAACTCAAAGCACAGTAATATATTTACTCAATATATGCCATTCAGTTCTTTTGACATTCATTTTCTTAGTTTCATAATGTTCCTTAAGACCTGTCCGTAACAAGTTAATAATTAATGATCTATGTGATGGTGTTTATTTAATGGATTTTAACACTTGAATTGTAGTGTTTTAGTGTTTTTTTATTTGTACATACAGTTACATAAACTAATGAAAATTCTATTGTGTTTTTGAAAATACATTTTCTTTCATATTCTAATGTTACCTTCAAAAACCTGAACAAATTATTATTTTTGCGATAGCAAATATGTATAGTTCAAAAGGTACTTGCACTCAAAACCATGAAAAGGAAAAACCCAAGGAGATGCAAAAATAATGTACTTATTTTAATCCATGCTCAAAAGAATACAAAAAGGTGCTATTAAACAAAAAACGGAGCATACATTTTGACCTCAGGCCTTCATCAGTGCTGTACAAACAAATTATGAAGACATGTACTTAAGGAGACACACCTTCTGTGCATAACAGGTGCAACAGGTGAAAACAGATAGTTCATTAGAGACTGGCGAATAGGGAGGAAATGCAAGGAATATATAGAAGAATATAAAAAACGGAAAAATCAAATGTCACATATCATTGGAAAGAGACAAAAGTCTGTACATAACAATATCAGAAGCAATAGATATGAAATACTCATGTAAGCCAAAAACTCAGAGTGCAGGGGTAGAGAAATTGGCTCGAAGGGGGGGTCCCTCGGGGCCAGGCTATTCTAGTGTTAATTATTGTTAAACATTTCAAAGGAGTGAATAGTACAGTATATTGTTTTCTTTTAAGTTGCTTATGATATACAGTAACATAAATGTATGAGTTTGGGAAGGCTTTTTATCTGGGAAACTGTAACATAGACACTCCCCTTAGTGTAACTTCATCGTGTTTTGATTTGAAGTATTTGTGTGATTTTGAATACATAGAAAATAAAAAAAAACAAGCAACTTTTTGAAACATTCTGGACCTAATTTCTCATGATCTACTACTTTTGAAACATTCTGGACCTTATTTCTCATGATCTACTACTTTTAAAACATTCTGGACCTCATTTCTCATTATCTACTACGTTTTGAAACAGTCTGGACCTAATTTCTCATTATCTACTACATTATTTAACAATCTGGACCTCATTTCTCATTATCTACTACTTTTTGTTTAAAGCATGACAAACTAAGTGACTATAATGCAGGGTTTTCTGACTTATCTATCAGCCCACTGAAAGAAATGTTATAAAACATACAGTGCATTCCAAAAGTATTCAGACCCCTTAACTTTTCCACATTTGTTACGTCACAGCCTATTTCAAAAATGGATTAAATCGTTTTTTCCCCCCCTCATCAATATACACACAATACCCCATAATGACAAAGCAAAAAACAGGGTTTTAGAAATGTCAAAAATAATAATAACAAAAATAAATATTACATTTACATAAGTATTCAGACCCTTTACCCAGTACTTTGTTGAAGCGCCTTTGGCAACGATTACAGCCTCGATACTTCTTGGGTATGACGTTACAAGGTTGGCACACCTGTATTTGGGAAGTTTCTCCCATTCTTCTCTGCAGATCCTCTCAATCTCTGTCAGGTTGGATGGGGAGCGTCGCTACACAGCTATTTTCAGGTCTATCCAGAGATGTTCGATCGGGTTCAAGTCTGGGCTCTGGCTGGGCCTCTCAAGGACATTCAGTGACTTGTCCCGAAGCCACTCCTGCGTTGTCTTGGCTGAGTGCTTAGGGTCGTTGTCCTGTTAGAAGGTGAACCTTCGCCCCCAGTCTGATGTCCTGAGCGCACTGGAGCAGGTTTTCATCAAGGATCTATCTGTACTTTGCTTCGTTCATCTTTCCCTCGATCCTGACTAGTATCCCAGTCCCTGCCAGTGAAAAACATCCCCACAGCATGATGCAGCCACCACCATGCTTCACCGTAGGGATGGTATTGGCCAGGTGATGAGTGGTGCCTGGTTTCCTCCAGATGTAACGCATGGCATTCAGGCCAAAGAGGTCAATCTTGGTTTCATCAGACCAGAGAATCTTGTTTCTCATGGTCTGAGAGTTCGTTAGGTGCCTTTTGGCAAACTCCAAGCTGGCTGTCATGTGCCTTTTACTGAGGAGTGGCTTCTGTCTGGCCACTCTTCCATAAAGGCCTGATTGGTAGAGTGCTGCAGAGATTGTTGTCCTTCTAGAAGGTTCTCCCATCTCCACAGAGGAGTTCTGGAGGTCTGTCAGAGTGACCATTGGGTTCTTGGTCACCTCCCTGACCAAGGCCCTTCTCCCCCGATTGCTCAGTTTGGCCGGGCGGCCAGCCCTAGGAAGACTCTTGGTGGTTCCAAACTTCTTGCATTTAAGAATGATGGAGGCCACTGTGTTCTTGGGGACCGTCAATGCAGCAGAAATGTTTTGGTACCCTTCCCCAGATCTGTGCCTTGACACATTCCTGTCTCAGAGCTCTACGGACAATTCCTTCGACATCATGGCTTGGTTTTTGCTCTGACATGCACTGTCAACTGTGGGACCTTATATAGACAGGTGTGTGCCTTTCCAAATCATGTCCAATCAATTTAATTTACCACAGATGGACGCCAAAGAAGTTGTAGAAACATCTCAAGGATGATCAATGGAAACAGGATGCACCTGATCTCAATTTCGAGTCTCATAGCAAAGGGTCTGAATATTTATGTAAATAAGGTATTTATTTTTATTTATTTTATGTCTTAAAACCTGTTTTCGCTTTGTCATTATGGGGTATTAGTTGTAGATTGATGAGAGAAATGTTTTATTTAATCCATTTTATTAAAATGGCTGTAACTTAACAAAACGTGGAAGAAGTTAATGGGTCTGAATACTTTCCGAATGCAATATACTGTAGCACTTCCCTTCATGAAGAGTCAATACTGAGGTGTAGTCAAACATCACAACATCACAGACCACATCTCACATCACCAGTTCTGTGGTCTGATGTGATTAGTGCCTGGCAGAGAGTGATTATTAATAAGGAACTGGAATGGAGAGAAAATATAAGTACACTTTTCAAGAAAGCTCTTTCATTGTAGTCATTCATTCACTTCTAAGACATACATTATTTATATTGTATTGGCTTTAAAAATAAAAATTGGGGCAGATATGAATTAGCAATGGCATTAATACATTTTCTCAGGATATGGAAACAAATGGCATTTGAATACTTTTTCTCATGAGAGATAATCAGTATGAACCTGTAACACTTTGTTAAAATGAAAAGTTCTCCCTCACAAGTCAAATCAAATTGTATTCGTCACATGCTTCGGAAACAACAGGTGTAGACCAACAGTGAAATGCTTACTTACAGGCCCTTCCCAACAGTGCAGAGAGAAAGAAAAAAAAGTAATAACAAAAGTAATAATAGATACAATGAGTAACAATAACTTGGCTATATACATGGGGTACCAGTACCGAGTCAATGTGCAGGGGTCTGAGGTAATAACTTGGCTATATACATGGGGTACCAGTACCGAGTCAATGTGCAGGGGTATGAGGTAATAACTTGGCTATATACACGGGGTACCAGTACCGAGTCAATGTGCAGGGGTATGAAGTAATAACTTGGCTATATACATAGGGTACCAGTACCGAGTCAATGTGCAGGGGTACGAGGTAATAACATGGCTATATACACAGGATACCAGTACAGAGTCAATGTGCAGGGGTACGAGGTAATAACATGGCTATAAACACAGGGTACTATTGCTTAAGTATAGAGCCCTGTGGCTGGGGCCGAAACTGTGTGTGTGTCTATTTGTGTGGATGGCGGGCTAAACCGAAATGCCACGCTTCGGCCAGGTATTCAATTGTGGATCTGGTAGCATTTCGGAGAAATGAGCCAGGTTTTCTTTAGAGGGTTGGATTGTGGATTTTGCTCAATAGTAAAGTTTATTTCTGGAGCTTGCCACATGTGTTGTGTTTTAGGAGCCTCTGGCTGTCTGAACTTGGGCTCTTTGTGTGTGTGGATGGCTTGTTGGATGGTGTCTGGGGCACCGGGGGAGTTTTCTATAGAGCCTGATTGTGGGCTAAATTGAAATGACATGTTCTGGTTATGGATCTGATCGCGGATCTGGGCTTATTTTGGAGAAGTCCCGGAGACAGGCTTTCTTTGGAGGGGTAGATTTTCTTCCAAGGGAAAGTTTATTTTTTAGGATCAACAGTTGCATCTTATTGATGAACCATCAACTAATGTTAGCTTTCTATAGCTAGCTATTCTCTTCCTCGGTTTATGAATTAATTTGTGACTGTTTCTTTCTAGCTGGCAAAATAAGTGAGCTAGATTTTGTTTGTGTACTGTCATATGTCGACAACTTAGCCAAGTTTGTCACTGGTATGGGCTAGTAAATATCCTAAAGCTAGCCAGCTAGACAGTGATAGCCACAAGCTAAAACTGGGGAGAGAGGGAGGAGAGAATTCTGTACAGCACCTCTGTACCTTCAGGCTCTGATCAGTCCCTACACCCAAACGAGGGCATTGCGTTCATCCACCTCTGGCCTGCTGGCTCCCCTTCCTCTGCGGAAGCATAGTTCCCGCTCAGCCCAGTCAAAACTGTTCGCTGCTCTGGCACCCCAATGGTGGAACAAGCTCCCTCACGACGCCAGGACAGCGGAGTCACTCACCACCTTCCGGAGACATTTGAAACCCCACCTCTTTAAGGAATAGGATAAAGTAATCCTTCTAACCCCCCCCCCCCCCCCCCCCCCCCCCCCCTAAAAAAATTTAATTAAATAAAAAATTGTAAAGTGGTTATCCCACTGGCTATAGGGTGAATGCACCAACTTGTAAGTCGCTCTGGATAAGAGCGTCTGCTAAATGACGTAAATGTAAATGTAAATGTAATTCACTTTCTGTTTCATCTGCTGCTGGCTTGATAATGTTCACGGAAATATGTTTTTCCACATGTAATTGATGAAGTGAGATTTGTTTTCTATAAAGATTGTACTGTAATTGTGACAATGTTGTGAATATTGTCAAAATCCTCACAGCCATTTTCCATACTAAAAAGTGAAGCACAACTTGGTGTGCACCAGCTTACTATGTACAGTAGGCTACAGTAAGCTCACCATGTGAGTCATCAAAATTACAATCTTTCGTTTGGGCCTTTCTGGCAGTTTTGTGCTTTTTATATGCAGGGAGCATACATTTTTAAATTGTAAACTAACAAATAATTGTTCAAGTTAGAACCCATGTATATTAGTTAATATACAGCACCAACTACATAAATATCTGATAGGGTCCTTTATCTGCTACCTGGACTTTAATGAAGCCGGTGACTGATGTGGTAAACTCCTCAATGCAATCGGATGTATCACGAAACATATTCCAGTCTCTGCTAGTGAAATAGTCCTGTATGTTAGCGTCCGCTTCATCGGACCACTTCCGTATTGAGCGCATCACTGCTACTTCCTGTTTGAGTTTTTGCTTGTTAGCAGGAATCAGGAGGATAGAGTTAAGGTCAGATTTTCCAAATTCATCTCTGTGTGTGGATTAAAGGTGATCTAGATTTTTTTTGCCTCTAGTTGCACAGGTGACATCCTGGCAGAAATGAGATAAGATGGATTTCAGTTTTCCTGCGTTAAAATCATCGGCCACTAGGAGTGCCGCCTCTGGATGAGCATTTTCTTGTTTGCTTATGGCCCTCTACAGCTCATTGAGCGCGGTCTTAGTGGAAGCATCGGTTTGTGGTGGTAAATAGACAGCTACAAAAAATATAGATGAAAACTCTCTTGGTAAATAGTATGATCTACAGTTTATCATAAGGTATTCTAATTCAGGCGAGCAGAACCTCGAGACTTCTTGAACATTAGAGATCGTGCACCAGCTGTTGTTAACAAAGAGATACACACCTCCCCCCTTGAACTTACACAATGCTGCCGTTCTATCCTGCCTATGCATAGAAAAACCAGCTAGATGTATATTATCC